CTGCCCCTTTCCAGCCAGAGCATCCCAGATTGATAAGAGCTGGGTGGGGATATGTGTAAGGGCCATACACATCTCCCCGCCCAGCTCTTAGCAACCAGGGGCGCGCTGGCTGGCATCCCGCCCAGCTCCTGGCGACCAGTGACGTCACTGATTGCCAGAAGCTGAGTTCCTGCTATAGAGGCGGGAACTCTGCTTTTAATTCATAGCAGAGAGATTTAGGACTCTGTGTCTTCAATCTCTTTTTCTGTTTTAAAAGGAAAATATCAGGGGTCTGTTTGGATCTGATATTTCCTCAAAACCTCTGACAGTAAATATGAAAAAATAATAATAACCATAAAATAATTAAAAAATAATTTTTAAAAAAATGTTAAAAAGGTTGGGAAAAAAAAGTCAGTTTTTAGTTTCATTCTAAAAATTTCATTTCGTCCATCCCTAGTTCTAACCCTTCACCACTCTATCCAAAACCAAAGAAAAACCTTTGCTTTTTGTTTATAAGAAAAATTGCTTGTGAAGGAATGATGCATGTTATGTCAGTCTTTTAAATAAAGTAGAGTGTACCTTTAAGGCTTCAATGAAAAGCTTTCTTTATATATAATAATAATAATAATAACACCCCATTAAAGTGTGTAGTAGAAAAGTCCGACATTCTAGTGTAGCTACTATGAAGGAGAAAATTTGCTTAACCCCTTAAGGACCAATGACAGAATTATTCCATCATGGTTGTCCGTGCCGTAAGGACCCATGATGTATTATCTCCGTCATGGATCCTTAAGGGTTTAAGCTTTCGTCATGAGCTAAATGAGGACTTATATATGCAAATGTCACAACAAATTAAAGCCCTTTTTGTCCATTAAAAAACGGTATATATCACTACAAGAGGGCTATGTCTTCCATTGGAGGGGAGATGATGAGATTTACTAAACAATGGGAACCTTGGACTACATGGCACTCCTTACGTGAGGTACAGTGATACGCAGAGTACTAGTTTTAGTGCTGAGTTTCATGGGACTCTTCCTACACAGACATGACATTGGAACTGGCGCTAACCTTAAGCCTGATAGACGATTCTCCTTTGTAAAATACGCTGCTTGTTATTTGTTAGTGTACCATATGTTCGAGCCTACTCCTGATGTACCCTGTTTCCCCAAAAATAAGACCTACCCCGAATATAAGACCTAGTGCTATTTTTGGGAATTGCTAAAATATAGGACCTACCCCGAAAATAAGACCTAGTTGTGACCATTCCCAGGGCCGGTGGTGGCATAAGGGGGAACTTGAAGAGCCGTGGCAGAGAATCCGCGGTGCCAACGTAGCCAGTGCTAGAGGAAGCAAGGCAGCAGCGTAGGGAGCAGAGCCGCATAAGCCGATGCCTCCTCTATAGCTCCGGCTCCTATCACATGTGGAGTGATACCAAATGCACTCTGCCTGTGAAGAATTGATAGTAAAAGCGTACTTCGCTCATTCTGGCCATTGGTTACCAAATTGCTCTTGGAAAGGTACGGCACCCCTGACTGCCATGATCACCATATTCTTAACTTTGCCACTCACTCCTGTCTTGTAAGTCTTCTACCGGTAGTAAGTGTGGATTGTTGTCCATTAAAAAAAAAAAATAAGACCTACCCCGAAAATAAGACCTAAGGTGTTTTTTTGAGCCAAAAAAAAAAATAAGACAGTGTCTTATTTTCGGGGAAACACGGTACTAATTCATGTGGCTCTCACGAAAGATGGGTACTACAATTCATGTACAATACACTTCCGTGATAACTTCGAACATGTATTGTTGTTTTTATATGTTGTGAAAATTAATAAAAACTATTTGAACAAAAAAAACGGTATATAATATGTGTTGGTGCAATAAAAGAGAAAGATGGAAATTAAGGTTGAACACACACAGCAAAAATTGCTTTGGTCCTTAACTCAAATACAAGCATCTGAAGCTTGGTCCTTAAAGGAGAACTATGGGGTTAGGGCTTTTCCCCATAGTTCTCCTTAGGGTAACGGGAGGGCACAAACTAGCGTCCTCCCGTCACCCTAAGCTCAGCTACAACTTGCGGTGTACTGAGACGCCGCAGCTGAAGCGGATCCCGACAATTATGTCTGGATCCGCCCAGCTGCGTGAGTGACAGCTGGCTCTACCTATCTAGAGGCAGAGCCAGCTGTACCCGCCCCCTCCCCCGTCCGTTCC